AAATTATATAGTCACACAACATAAATTTGAGATCGTCACAAAGTGATAAATGTGATAAAGAGAAATTCCACCATGCTATAAAAAATTGGGTTTTTAAAAAAATGGCCCAAAAAGGAAATTCGCTAGCCATTTTTAGTAAGATATTCTGTGTATTTTTCACAACTTCTTACATACCAGTTCAAATATGATTGTCTGAGGTCCTACTTAGGTTTTCCTTCTTTATCTCCAAGCCTTCTATTCTCTTATTCTTTTCAGGAAATTTTGAAAGTGTTGATCTATGCTGATAAAATGCATTTAAATTAAATCATTAAACATGCATTGAATAACAACAATGAGTACTTTAAAACATAAAGTGATTTACAATCATTATGTTAGATTAATTTGATAATAGATTCAAATTAAATTCACCAATTAATTTTACTAAAGGATAACCATGTTTAAAAAATTGAGTGCAAATGTGGAATAATTTACTTTTATATTGATCAACTGTATAAATTTTTAAATCAAGTATTTTAGTAAATATACCTTTCCAATAGGGTTTCTATTCAAATAATAATAATAATGAAACAAATAAATGAATAATTCAAATAAGAATTTATATTCTGGATAGAAACTCTATTTTCCGAAACAAGGATCTTAATCCATAGAATAGTCATCAACTTCTTCCTTATCCATATTAATTGCTATGTTGCTGAATGGTTACAAAATGCTGAGCATCTTTGAAAAGGTTCTTGCACAATCACTATATTTCAACATTGTAAATAGTAATTCTATTGAGTAAACCAATAATTAAAGCAGTAACAAATTTTTTAATAAAGTAATGGTGATAAATAAGTAATAATAATATAAGCTACGTGACAATCTCTAATTATAAAAATGATGGATTTTTTAATTTCCTTCTTCTTTTCGTCCTTTTCAACTTTTTCTAGTATCAAATATGAATAAAAGAAATCACACGAAGATTTCTCTAACAAAGTAACTAACTTGAATTCTTTATTTCGGCCAGCTCTATTAACAAGAGCTGAAATCATATATCTTTAATAAAACAAACATGACTTAGCTATTTAATCATTTCCTTGTATGTGAATGCCTCCATCCATCAAATATTCATGATGGTCATGATTATTATTCAATACATTTGATATCATCATTGACATAACAAACAAAAAATAGCATCACCCAGGTAGTAATAAGGTTTCTGGTCCAAACTGTTTTCTCAAAGCCCAAACTAGTTTGGGCAATTTGGGCTTCTCAACATTTTTTATAAACATGAACATTAAAAAACTATATGAATCAAATTGTTTTAACTTAAACAACTTTAAAATAATTTCGCCCAATTTTGGCTAATAACAAAAAGTAGTTTGGGCTTATAAAAAAATAATTTTTGCCCAAAGTATTTGAGTAATTTCGGCTACTAATAGAAGCAGTTTCGGCCAGAAACCTTAGGTAGTAATAATACCAAGGCCATGCATGAATGAACCTTTTAATAATGCATGCCTACCCAGATCTCTGGATTCACAAAATAAATTATTTTTCCTGATTATCAATTATGGTTCCTTATAATAAATCTGATGTTGATCACAGGTGTCAGATTTAATTAAACAGCTCATGCGGACAATTTCCAAAAGGTTACACCTTTATCCTTCAGTTCGTAGGGATAGAGCCTCAGCCTGGGAAAACATATAAGAGGGATATCCCCCATTATTGATCTTATCGATCTTTGGGTATTGGTCAGATATTGGGAAAATAATTTATACATAACATATCAAACAAAATTTGAACCATTTACAAATTATTTCTTGTTGAACATATTGCTGGCAAAGATATATATAATCATGCAATAATTTTAACCTATAAGACAGTGGAATGATTGGGCAAAAACCCATTCAGTCCCCTACTCAAAATTATAACCCTATAAAAAAATGTTGACTGAAAATGTACGGGAAATGTACGGGAAAACAGTAGATGAACCGTATTGTTTTACGGAATAGGTATGGGAAAATGTACGGAATCTTCCTGTTAAATGTGCCGAAATGTATGGAATTTGTGCGGGATAGATACAAAGTAGGTGTGGAGTAGGTGCGAAATACATACGAAACACGCACGGAATACACACCTACTTCGTATTTATCCCACACATTTAACAGGAAGATTCCGTACATTTTTCCGTACCTATTCTGTAAAACAATACGGTTCATCTACTGTTTTCCCGTATGTTATTTTTTATAGGGCATGTCCAGGGACAATGTGATACTACCACTATATCAAGCACGAAATCAAGTATCCTTTGATTACTAAAACTTCATCTAATGGTGTTAATTGCCTTCTTTAGTTTACGAAATAACTGATCGTCACCTTCCAAGAGGCTATGTTACTTCTAAGAAACATCTACAAACATTTTTTGCAATTACGTATATTGTGATTACGTGAGCTATACTGATTTGAATAATTGTATTGTACTCATGCGTAGACATGGTTATCCCAATCATTGTCTACAAAGGTGCCAATCTAAATGTTTGATATCTTGGATAAAGATGGGAACTGCAATTAGCCTCAATTCAATTTTCATATGCCACAACCACGACTGCAATTCAATTTTATATGCTGCAATTAATTGCAACTAATTGAGGAGCCATCTTTAATCTTGAATTCAAGTCTAAATCAAAAAAAGTGCCAATGCACTAAAAGAAAGTATGACGAAAAGATTAATGAAAATGAGTTTATCAAAAATATTAAAAATACACAGTTGATGATGATCTGGGTAATGTTGAATCAGCAGCAACAATGGAAATTTTATTAGAACATGCAAAAAAAAAATTTCCTGGTTATAAATTTTTTTTTTTTATTAAATAATTTTGTTTTCATATTTTGTCTTAATCGTATGTCTTAAATTGGTTGTGCTTATAATCATTTCATCAACATTCATTTTATTTTGATTATATAAAGAGATATGGTCTGAGAGAAGAGTTGGGAAGAGAGTTACTCTTTTGTATTGTGGCAACTATTGCAAATTTCGTCGATTCTACAATTAAATTGATTAAAAATTTGATATTAATATCAAATTAAAGACATTCAATTATTCATCTTTTTTGTTAGTATTTTTCTTCATAATCTTTAACAAAGACAGTAAATTTGTCTATTTTATTGATTAATATTAAAGAAAATTTTAATAATATAGTTATAAAGGAATGTTAGTCTTGGTAAAAAATTTTTTTGTTTTTTGAGATTTTTATATGTTTTCACGACCAATTAACTTAACATTTATTTTCTATCATTAAAAAAATCAAAAGTTTTTTTTTGAAAATGTAAAGATTCTTTATGATATTGATTTGGCTTCATTAAAAAAGATAGGATAATTCATAATTATTTTTTTATTGTTAAAGAAATCAACAAAGTCTCTTTAAAAAGTAAGAATCAATTAAGTCTTTTTTGAAAATGTAAAGATTCTTTGATGTCGGTTTTTGGTTACATTAAAAAACAGTAATATTTTTTTTTAGTATCAAAGAAATCAACAAGCCTCTTTAAAAATGTAAAAATCAATCAAGTATTTTTTTGAAAATATAAAGATTCTTTATGATGTCGATTTTTGGCTCCATTAAAAAACAGGATGGTTCATAAGTCGCTGGTGCTATGATATGCTCTTTGACTATATAAATTTTTGGTTTGGAGATATGAATTAGTATGTTTATAAGTTTATCTCTATTTCTAACAATGATAGAACTAAATAAAGTTACTTCCAAGGCAGATCTGAAGAAAGAAAACGATCTTGTAGCCCAATTTCAAGGGAAAAAAGTCATGCAATTGTGATAAGGACAAAATAATAATCTCTAGTTTGACCAAATATTCATTTTTTATTATCAATATATGTTGGTTTTAAGCTTTTCTCATTTGCTATTATAGTCAATAATGGTTTGTTGAATACACTGATAAGTAAGCAACAGATAATTATTGAAGGCATTAATGATATTAAAGCAAAACTTGTTGACAATGATAAAAAACTGGATCAGTCTTTAAGCATTTCCAATAATAATGTGGAAAAAGTGACAATTAATAAAAGAAAACTAGAGATGGTTTTATTGTAAGTATTATAAAGTTTCTTTTTGTAAAGATTTTACAACAAAAATAATTACACATATAATTGGTAGGGTGAAGTTAATTCTATTGTGCAAGATGTCTTTGACATATTAATGATACTTTACATAGCTTTTATTAGTAATTCATACACTATGTTTGCTGTGTGAAACAAAGAGTACTTTTGGTATTTCTCATCTCTCATCTTTTAATGATAACTGAAAAAAAATCAAATGAAGGAATGGGAAAACGGTTCTAAAACTAAAATGGCATATGATGAATTGTTGATCCATATAATGATTAATCAATCAGACACTTATGCTGCAAAAATAATTAAAGCAACATTTACTAACAATGAGCAAACTGCTCTAATATGCTATGGATTCAAGCCATTTTGGAAATAATCTTTGATCTGGAATATCTGTCACCAAAACTTGCACTATTCCAGAAACAGCAGGATGCATAATATTATCATTTATTTATATAGTGGCTAAAAAAAAATAATGTAATACCTACTTAACTATTAATAATACATGTTTTAAGAAATATTTAACAAAATGTAAAATTAAATCACTTCGGCTATTTCGATTCGCATTATAAATTAAATAATAATGTGTTTGGAAAGTCGATTCGCATAATTATAAAAACCAAGATTTACATTAATATGATTTGTCATTTAATTGTGAATTTGAAATTTAAGGGTTGTTTCACGCGCGTGAATTTCAAATTAACGCAGATCTTAAATTCACACACAAACAAACCGAATTTTTATACGTAAATTCCTTGCTGCGAATTATATTAATATTTACAAAATTTATTATTATATTAATAATATTAATAATTTTATTTTTGGTAAAAAAGATTTGTAACAAGGAAATCTTTAACAAAACTTTTAAACCAAAATGAAATCAACTATAGTTATCGTTCAAACTATTATCAATAACACATCATCATCATCATCAAACAAATTAAAAAAAAATTGACGACCAATTGGATTCATAACATGAAATTTATAATTACAAATTATCATGCAAGACATTTAAAATCTAATCTTTACAAATTTGGTTTTGTATATAACATTTTAATTTGTAAAATCGCAATCCGTATTCGTAAATATTGATACATCGTAACAATAATGATGATATCACAACACCGAGCCAATAAAAATTGTAATCCAAAGGTAAAAGGTTTTTTCCCAAAAAGATCTCTCAAAAAGTGATAGATGCATTCTCGGAAGAAAGTGCCCGGACCTCATTTTTCATTAATTGTGCAAAAGTTTGCATAATAAATATATTGTTTACATATAAATCATCATAATGTTAAATAGCTTAAGTCCTAATGAAAATAAATGCACATAAATTTTTATGTTCTACCGTTCAATTCTGTTTGTCCCTCCATTATTGAATATACATGCTTAGCACGCCTTCGATTAATTTAATATAGATCTATTGAGAAGTTCCTCTTGCGAGGCCAATCCTCATCAACATCAACTGAATATAATATCTTTTTATGTATTTATAAAATTATTATAAAAAACCCGATTTTTGAATTCGATGCTTTTTTTTTATCGTGGTGAATAATTATAAAAGCTCCTTTTATATTTTTGATGAAATTATTTTTATTGTTATATTACATACAAAAAAACCAGTTTCGTATGATGATAATGATAAAATTTTTTTTGCTTCCTTGGGCATCCAATTGAAAACTTCTTGTCAATAACACCTTCATCAATGTAACGGAAAAACCTGAAAATGCAACAAATTATAAAAAAAAAAAAGGAAGAAATCGAAGTTGAACGATAACTATAATTGATTTCGTTTTTGAGGTTTGAATAGCGAATATGTATTATTCGTTTCCAAACAGCATTATAACAACATTATAACAATTCAGGCTTCAGGTTATTTTAAACAGAAAAGAAAACAGAAGCTTATTTTGAATATTTTGTTTTTATTATTAGTATAATTACAATTAAAAAATTATTTTTAAAATCTAAATCTATTTATAATATTTATATATTTATATTTATATTTATAATTTATTTTATTAATAGTAATATTAATAAATCCTATTATTATAAATCTTTTTAAAAATCAAAATAACTCTTTGGTTCCTCTTCTTCCTCTTCGGTATTATATTCATTATCGCTTAATTTATTATCATTATCATTCTTATTACTATTATTATTACGACTCTTCCCAATCACGCCAAATAAAAATCTTCTTGGTGATTTTGCCGTTTCTATTTCTTTGTTTTCACTAGGTACAAAACTTAATAAAGGTTGTATATTTGTATTTCTTAACGCTAATGTATGTTGCGCATCAAGTTTAAGATCTATTTCTAATAATTTCTTGCCATTATTATTCGATGGCGATTGCATAGTTGATAATTGTGATTGCGATGATGATGGTGGTGATGGTATATCAAGAGTTAATAATGTTCCTCCTCCACCACCGACTGTTTTCATTGATTTTTTACTAAGTTTCTTTTCTTGATTTTCTTCAAGTAACGACCCTTTATTAAATTTTATTCCTTCATCAATATGAATCAATTGATCAGTCATGTTATTATTATTAGCGCTACCATTACCAAAACTAGCACCATCTGTGTTATTAGTTGATGATGATTCAACAATTTCTCGATTTTTATCTAATAAAGAACCTTTATTAAATTTTATAGATTCACTAATATTAATGTACGTGTTATTATTCATTGAATCTTTTACATATCCTGATCCATTTAATGCTCTACGCAATTTTTCTCGTTCTTTAACTTCTTCAAGTAAAGCTTCATTTGTATCCAACAATGATCCTTTAACAAATGATATTTGATCATTTTGTTGTTGTTGATTTAGTTGTCTATATGTTGATGTTAGTGGTGATGATAGTTGTTGTTGGCTTTTTTCATTTGAATCTAATAATGATCCCTTGATAAATGGTACTTGGTCATTTTGTTGTTGATTTTGTAGCTGTGATAATAAAGGCGGTTGAATTTTTTCATTGGAATCTAATAATGATCCTTTAATAAATGTGGTTTGTTCAATTTGTTGTGTCAATGGTGTTTGTGGTGATGATGATGGACTAATAGTGGTAGTACTAGAAGCATTTGGTGCCAATAAATTTTTATCACTAGAACCCAGTAAAGAACCTTCTTTAAACATTACTTCAGAATTAGGTTTTCCAAGATGATTACTGCGAACGTTTTGTTGTTGCTGAAAAGACTGTGATAATGATGAATCTGATTTTTCAGTAATTATTTTATCCTAAAATTCAAATAGAAGATTATTAGGATTATGAATGTCGATATTTGATATTTGATATGCTATTTTTAAATAAGCAAATAAAATTTCTTGTAAATTTTACATACTTTATTACTATCATCTTTAAAGCCCATTTTTAAGAACAATTCGGGATTTTCAGCAAGCATCAAATTATTCTGCAAAAAAAAAAAAAAATAAGATATATATATTCACATATTATTAATATATACATAGTCCAAGTATACACAAAAGAAAGAAAAAAATAGTTTACCTTAGCAGTACTAATGCTTAATACCCAATCTTTCATTTTATCGTAATGATCAGCACATAAATATTTAATATAATCATTTTCAGGATTTTCAAACATTGTTATTTTATCTTGAGATTTTAATGCAAAAACAAATTTTGTTGGTGGTTTCCTGTTACACGATTTTATTAGCGAATAAACGTCGAAATTTGCCATTGTACATAAAAAATTGTCGCTGGTTTTTGATTTAGTATCTTTGCCATTATTATTGTAATATAAAGAACCATCTTTAACATGAAAATATCTTTTTTGCCATTTATTTTTCTTTACTTCCATATGTAAGAAACCAAACATTGGCGGAACAGCGTTATTGAACCCATCAATTGTTAATGCATTTCTATATGGATATTTCTTTAGAACAAATGCATACTTTCTATCAAAATCCCAAGTTTCAATAATTCTTGATAAATATTCCCAATCCCTTATTGGACGTTCTATTTAAAAAGTGGTTGAATATATGTGAGCAAAGACTATATATATAAAAATAAATTTTAGAAATTTAAAACATTTACCTAATCCAAATTCATTAATTAGCTCAAATATTGTCCATGAATCATCATCACTAATTGATTTATTATTACGCAATGAATTCAATACATCCAAAGCTGTCATTTCAGATGTTATTGATATTTTTTTGGATTGATGTGTTTCTTCAATATATATTTGTGCTGTAAGCTGCTAATAATATTAATAAATTATTCAATTAGATTATTTATTAAGTTGTTTATTATTAGAGATTATTGATTAATTATTTGTTGAAATTACCTTGAATTCACTATTTTCAATATGTGTTGAATTTTCCGAATATTTCGTCTATACATTGTAATAAAAATTATAGACAATATCAATTAGTCTAAAGAAAAACAAAGTAAACTATTTGAGAAATAAAAATTTCAATTTTAATATATACTTTGTCACGACGAGGTAATGGATGTTTATCTTGATCAGCAAAATCAAAATCTTTTGACCGTCCTTTAGATTTCTGCTTTCCGTTTTTAGATTCTCTTGTTTTAGATTTAGCACGTGTTTCACGTTGTTGTGATGGTGATTCTTCAACATTGGTAGTTATTAATGGTTCTCTATTTCTAGACTTGGCACGTCCGCGCTGTTGTTCTTCAATGTTATTTATTAATGGTTCTTTAGCTTTAGATTTGGCACGTCCGCGTTGTTGTTCTTCAACGCTGGTTATTAATGGTTCTCTAGTTCTAGACTTGCCACGTCCGCGTTGTTGCTCTTCAACACTAGTTATTAATGGTTCTCTAGTTCTAGACTTGCCACGTCCGCGTTGTTGTTCTTCAACATTCGTTATTAATGGTTCTCTAGCTCTAGATTTTGCACGTCCGCGTTGCTGTTCTTCAGCGGTCTTTGTTGTTGTTGTAGTTGTTTCTCTAAGTGGTCTAGATTTAGTACGGCCACGTTCATCCATCGTAGTTTCCTTTGGTCTAGTTGACCTTACATGGCCTTTTTGGTCTTCATTGTTGTTGCTGTTGTCGTTGTTGTTATTTGTTGTTGTTGTAACATTAATGATATTTCTAGCTTTTTCAATATCATTGGATAATCTTTTTGTACGATGATGATTATAAATAGCATTATTATTAGGTTCTTTTTGTTTCTTACTAGTGCTAATGACATTGTTACTAGGATTGATAGTATCAATTGATCTGCGATGTCTAACAATGTTGGTAGTACTAGTATTTTTATCTTCATTAATATTTTTATCAATTGATCTGCGTCTAATAGTATTTTTATCTTCATTGATATTGTTATCAATTGATCTACGATGTATAATAGTATTTTTATCTTCATTGATATTGTTATCAATTGATCTACGATGTATAATAGTGTTTATATCTTCATTAATATTTTTATCAATTGATCTGCGACGACTAATAGTATTTTTATTTTCATTAATATTTTTATCAATTGATCTGCGATGTCTAATGGTATTGTTAGTGTTAGTAATAGTAGTACTATTATTATTTTCGTCAGAAATAAGTTTATATTTTGAATTTGCAGCAACAACATTATTATTATTGGTATTTCTTTCATCAATATTATTTAATTCCTCAATTGAAGAATCGCTCATTCTTCTTTGTCTTTGTTGTGAACTATGCTGATGATTATGAGACTTTGTATGACGATGATAAAGTTGTTGTTTTAAATCTTCATTTGATCTTCTATTAATTGAATTATCTTTGTTGTCACTTCTATTAGTAACAAGAGTAGCAATATATTTAGTGTCATGTGAAGAGGACAAAGTGGTTGTAGTTGCGGTAGTAGTTGATGATGATTTCTCAGTTCTATTACTATTAATATTAATGTTGCCGCTAATATTGTCATTATTATTACTAATGATATTACTACTATTATTAATATCTTCTGGTTTTATTTTTACATCCACTTTTTGAAATGTTAAAGAAGTTGCAGGTGATGGTAATGGTGGTAATGGTGGAGGCAATGTTGACAAAGATGATAAAGGAATCTTTTTTTTCTTGGATGATAATGATTTACCATTTAATCTATGACCAGTTGTAGGAGTTCTGCGTATTTTCTTTCCTGTTGTAGTAGTGGTGGTAGTTGCTGTTACTGTCTCTTGTGATAATGATATTGGTGATTGTGATTGTGATATTGGTGATTGCGATGGTAATGGTGATAATGGTGATGATGGTGATGGTGATGGTGATGGTGATGATGATGATGATGATGATGATGATGATGATGCAATTTGTGATGATGATGATGCTATGTGTACTGATTGCAATGATGTTGATGATAATGCAGATGTAGATATAGATACAGATGATTTTAAAAAAGATGATGATGAGGATTTTTTCAAAATTGGTGTTGCAAATAATAATGAAGAAGAAGAAGGCGCAGAGGAAGGAGAAGATGCAATTGTAGTTTTTAATATAAGGTCATTTAAATCATTTAAATTATTCAAATTATTCAAATTAGATCTTGAAATAGATGATGATTTATTATTTGATGATGGCGTTAACAATAATAAGTCATCATCATCACTGCTACTATCGCTACCACTACTAGTGGTTGAACCTTCACTGTCATCATCACTACTACTTTCATCAAGCCATCCTACAGAAGAAATTGGAGAATGTGAATTAAACGTTTCTGGAATAGGTGATAGACGTGACAATAATACGGAGGGGGCGGAGTGGTCTATTAAAGATGATAACGTTGGTGAAGATGACGAGGACGGTGAATTATTATTATTAGATGTAGCACTCTTGTTAGCAGGCAATTCTATTGTTAAGCCATTGATTTGTAAAGGCTTAGAACTTATAGGTGATAAAGGTGGTAATAATGTATGATCATCTTTATTATTACTAATGGAAGTGGATAATTTTAATGACAATATAGTAGAAGTTAAAGGCGAAGATGCAGGCGTTGTTAAAGATGTTGCAGTCGAAGGAGTTGATGATCCTGATGACGATGATGATAATGTTGATGATGATGATGAATGAGTGGATGATGATGAAGGATGATAAATTTGATTGTCGTTATTGCTGTTATTATTAATGCTACTATTGTTTAACAATGAATTAGATTTTGATCTTGATTGTCGAACAAATAATTGTTGGGATGATAGATTCGATAAAGAATTATTCGAGGAAAAACTAGGCGAATGATGATTCTTTTTTAAACTTGAACCCATTCTATTAATTTCTTCTTGAATTGCTTCAATTGAAAATTCGTCTTTGTTGTTATTATTGTCATTATCATAATTATCATCATTAATTACATTATTATGAAGTTCAAGGTCCTAAATAAATAATTGATTGATTGATTAATTTAAATTACAATGATTAATAGAAACATATTATATAGTAAAACCGAGCACTTCATTACTAGTACTAATTAGTACCTTTGTAAGTTCTTCGACCTCTAGCTCTAATTGTCCAAAAAGTAAATCCAGATTACTTGTCATATTGTAAATAAATTATGACAATTAATTAGCGAGCGAAAGAAGGTAAAAAAAATTGTAAAATTTGTTTTTTAATTTTGTAAAAGGGAATGAATTAATTGGTTTTTTCAAAAAATATAAATAGGAGCGAAAAAGGAATACAAATTAATTTATTAAAAAAATATTATCTTTTTATGTAATTAAAAATATCAATCTTTTTTATTTACGTAATTAAAAATTATTTTTATTTATTTGTTTATTCCTTGTAAAATAAACAAATGAACAAAATAGTAAAAAAAAGTCTCTTTCCAAAATTTCGCACACATTTTATAAATACTTTTTTTTTTTAAACAATTATTTTAATTATTTTAATTATTTCTAATAATAATAATGTTACAAAAAATGAATTTCTCGAGTTTGTAACACAAGGATATTGTTTAATTGCTCCGTTAACAGCCGTTAATCATAGTTATCAAGTTCATACACATAAATTGTAATTTTAGCGATAGGATGATTTCAATGATCAAAATCACAAGTCATCATAAAAATTATTTAAATGTATCGATTTTTTTTTTATCCGTAACCTATTTACAAATTTTTATTGAGAAAGGAGGAATAAAAAAATTTTTGAAAATTAAAGACAATTCATAATAAAAATTAAAAAAATATAATAAAAAATTTCTAATAAAAAATTTTTCTCTTCCTTTTCTCTAATTCTAAAATATTTGTTATTGATTGCTTGCTACTTTTTACTTGACCATTATATTAAATAATATAATATTATTAATAATGAAATAAGAAAACGGACACAAATTATTTATATAATATATAATATTGAATTTTTTTTGTTTGCAAAATATATATATATAAGTTAATATATATGATATATATATACAAAAACATGAAAATTAAAAAAAAACGAAATAAAAATATATATAATGTATGATTATAATATATTAATAATAAATTTTTTTTAGCAAATAGACATAAAATTTTGTTGTGATGGGATATTATATTTTGAATTGTTTAGTAACGAGAATAACCACCACCGCCGCCACTTCCACCATAACCACCGCCGCCACCACCACGTCCACGACCGCCACCACGTCCACCACGACCGCCACCGCCGTAACCACCACCGCCATAACCACCACCACCACCGCCGTAACCACCACCACCACCGCCGTAACCACCACCGCCGCCACCACCTCTTGAATTAGAACGTTCAGAAGCACGATCAACTGATGTTTTGTAAGATGATTTATTATATAGTTAGATTGGAACGAATTAGTTAATTAAAATATTTAATAATTGTTGAATTATGTATTTACCCTTGATAGTACGACCATCGAATTCCTTTTCATTTAAATTTCTGATTGCTAATTCGGCATCGTCCTCCCTGTTATTATTAATTATTATAATTATCATCATTGGATCAGGGAAATTATAAATGAAATCAGTAATCAAAATCAATAAATAAAAAATAAATACTTGAAATAAGTGACAAATCCAAATCCACGGCTACGTCCTATTTATTTGTTGAAGATTGATTTAAAGAGTTGAAATAGGTAGGAGAGGAGAGATAATTGAAGAATTGTTGAATGGATGGAAAGAACACGAACACCATATGAATGACAAACCACCACAAGTAAGATACGAACATAAATATATATATATAATATCGACCAGGAGAGAACGAGAGAACGAGAGAGAAGGGATGGGATTGGAATTTAAAAGGAATAAAAGTAAAGGAGAATCGGGAAGGAGAATGGTGAATTGAAAAAAAAAGATTCAAAATAGAAAACGAGAGAAGAAATGTAAAGAGTAACACACATTAAATGAAAATATGGAATGAATGGGTAAATGTAGTGAGAAATGTCGGGAATTGTTTGGTATTGGGTATGTAATGTAGGAATAAGGAAAGAAGATTGAATTATATTCGGACCACACGCGTATAATTTTATATTATATATATATATATTTTTTTTTTACACACAAATCATTCATTTTTTAATTAATTATTTTTTTAAAAAGACAAAATTTTCAATCCATCTATTATCAATCATTCGGCGGGAAATTGTAATAACCTGTTCGAACGATAGATGATAGTGGGAGGAGAAGAAGAGGAGGGAAGAAAAAGAGGGAGAAAGAACACACAAACACAATATATATATATTTATATATAACACACACACACACACACACACGAGGTATAGAGGAGTGGTGGAAAGAAGAAGAATAAAATATGGTTGTTAGCATATCCTTAAATATTTTCTCAAAGAGAAATAAATCTTTCCTAAACATAGCTTGGAAAAAATTCTGTCTCACGAAAATAAAAAGGATGCTCGCTCCCAGAAAAAAAAAAAAAATAGAGAATAGAAGAAAGAAGGAATTTGAAAGGGTGGAGAAAATCATAACGGAAAAAAAACATTTATTTCTTTCCACAATTATAATTTTCTCTAGTTGTAATTGTGTTCGAGTAAATTTTATTCTATCTATATAACTAATAATTATTGACTAAAAAACTAACCATTTTCACGATCACGAATGACTACAGCATCTTCGACTGTCCCATATTCTTCGAATTTACTTTTGAGAGCACGGTCATCAGTATCCCAAGATAGACCTCCAACAAAGAGCTTTACAGACATTATTATTAATATATTATATATATAGGTAAATTATTTATTAAAGATAATTATTATTTTTATAAGAAAATAATAATTATTTTTTTTTTTTTTTGAAAAGATGTTTTTTGTTGGGGGTTTAATAAATTTTTCGTTATATTTATATGTATTTATTGCAAAGAAAAAATTTTTTTATCTGTGGAAAAATCAGGAAATCCTTGAAAAATTTTTTAAAATGGGGATAGTCCCTAAATAAAAACAATCATAATGATCAATTATTCATTAAAAATAATTGGGGACTTTTTTAGCCTTACAATTTAATTATTATTTCTCATTATTCATAATAATTTACTAATATTTTTTCCGTCATTAAAAAATATGTACAACAATATCAATTGTTACGAGTTTCTGGATATAATCAGGAAATTTCAAGAAATGATTACAAATAATTACGTATGCAGTGTTCAGTGACGAACTTAACACGACATTTTTTTTTTAATATATATAAAAAAAACCTCAGCCTAATCTTATTATTATCACGCTTATATGATAACTAGGGCGAAGAAATTTATAGGGTATGAACATTTTGGGGAGAAAGGCGAATTATCAAAAGATAGATAAGATAAAAAAAAGAGATTTATATAATATTATCACGAGAAAAATAGAAAGTAAAAAAAATGTGAGACACTTATTTTTTTTCCGTTAAGTTTATTTCTTGTTTCAGTTACAATTGTTTTTCTGTAATAATAAGTGCCATTGATTCTTATTTGGACATCAAGTATGGTTGGGGGTTGTACACAAGTAAACTCGATTAGTCAAGCACTTTAAACTTGTATAACTTTAGATAAATTTTAAAGTTTCATGCATGTCGCAGGTAGAGAGATTTATTATTATTGGATAAAAAATTTTTTTAGAGTAATAAGGAGAGATTAAGTTTTCGTGATAGGGGTGGAGATTGTTGGGGAAGAAACGGGGTGGGCGATATATTTTATAATAATGTGGGGAGTTCTCCAGCAAAAGGTATATATACCTACCTTCCTTAAATTTTTTTGAGTAACAACCCTGCAAAATATGTTACACATGTTTTTGTCTCATTTTTTTGCTAAATAAACAGATACTGATTTTTTCACCTATAATAAATATATTATGCAAAAACTCAATTTTGGTCAGAGGGACGCTTTTGCTGGAGAACCCCATGTGAATTTGTTAGTGTAATTTCTCACTCACCCTGCTAATTATTTGATTTTTGCGGGATCCCGAGAAATTAATTCGACGTGTTACAAGCATAACGTTTTATCGACAAAACAAATCAAGGCAAGTCAAATATATTATTATTAATAATAAACAAATCATGAAACCATAGATAAATAAATTATATACTATCTTAAAGCTAATTAATTGTTACTCGCACCAAAAACAAAACAATCGGCTCGATTGATGAACTGATTATAACCACGTATAATAAATAAACTGATAATGATAATAATCGCGTGGCTATAACGTAATGTCTCACAAATGTTATTAATCATTATCATCATCATTATTTATTTGGATGTAATGTTACAAAATATTTTATATAAATACGTATTCATCATAATTATCAGAGATCATGATAGTTAATTAATGTCTCTTTACTTGTTTTAATTTAACATTGACATATGTGTGTGTGTAAATGTATGTGTGTAAGTAAATATATGTATGCGAATGGAAAATTTTTATTTTTAATATTCTCCGAATGCTTTTAATTGATGCGTTTACACCTTTCTCACAATTTTATTGACTCGTTCACTTCTTTTCATTTTTAGATTTCTTAAATAATTCGTTCGCCACACTTTTGTTTTTTAATTCGTACTAAATCTTGCTGATTGGTTGGTTGATGTTTTTTTAATTTTTTTAACTGGTATATATTAATTAAAAATTAAAATGAATGATTTTCTGTGTTCGTGTAACGAGCATTGTAGTAGTTAATTTCCGACGATAATGACATATTAAAAATAAAAATAATGATGAATTAGTGTTTTTAATATAGATTATATTTTTAATTTCCTGAGTAGTTTATGATTGATTGGTGTTTTATTATCATAATTTGTAATGTTGTTGTTATTATTATTATGCTATTTATTTGCGATTTATTTATTTATTTTATTTACAGGATTTTTTAGATGATCACGTGATTTCACAAAATTGACAATTAAAATTAATTAATTCGTTGTTTTAATTAATATGTTTTTCTTAATTTTTTTTTTTCAAAAATTTGTTTCGGTTTTCAGAACACATTTTCTTAACGAAAAATAAACTTCACCAAAATAAGAAAAGAATCGACTAATACTGCTAATATTATATTAATTAATATTAGTATTTTTTATTTATAAATGTTTTATTATTGTTATCTTTATTTCATTAATCCAAAATCCAAAACTTCTAAATAACAATCACAACAATAATAATAACAATAACAATAAGATTAAAAAGAATAATCAGTTCAGCAGTCGGTCAATAATTTTAAATAATTAAATAATTAATTCCTCTTCTTTTTTATTTTCTAATAAAATAAATAATAAATTAATAAAATTGGTTTTTATTTAGAAAAAAAAAAAGAAAGCAAACATCCTTCCTTTCCTCACATCATAATCTTATTCCCTTTCTCTCCTTTCCTCTCTCCCTCTTCTTCTCTATTCCTCTCTTCCGTAATTTAATTAATTATATTTTTTTCCTTAAAAAAAATCCCTACCAATTATTAAGTATAACAGGATCTAAGTATAAAAGAATTTATATTTGTAAAATATATAATATTAATAGTAATAGTAATAGTAATAGTAATAATTCTGGAAACAAAGATTAATAATGAGTTCTTCTGCATTATTTGTACGAGCATTATACGATTTCAACTCGACAGATTCATCAAGTCTTTCTTTCAAAAAAAATGATATTATTCAAGTTTTGACTCAATCAGAAACTGGTTGGTGGGATGGTTTGTGTGGAGGTAAACGTGGTTGGTTTCCTAGTAACTATGTTGCTGTTTTAGACGAGGATGATGTTATGTTAGATGATGATGATGATAATGATGATGATAAGGTAAGATATTTGCCATGATAAACAATCCCGATTATAAATATCGTCCAAAACGTGATAGAGAACTCTCTCTCTCATAGTTTGATTAGTATCACATGATTAATTATATTTTTTTCGTACGACAATATTCATTCACACTTGAACATTTACTCACATACTCGTAAATTAACAGTTGTCAGATTGGATTCTTCAACATACACCAGATGGTGAATTATTTTATTATAATACAAAAACTGGTGATTCATCTTGGGACTTACCAATAGATGATGGTTTCCTAAGCACTTCATCTCCACAACAATCATTCCCTGAACATGATTCCCCTTTCTTAGTCAACAATTCTGATAACAATTCGCGAAGAAATTCGAATGACATTAATGGTAATAGTAATAGTAGTAATAATAACGATCTAAACAACAAAGACAACGATGACGATAAAGTCACATTTAGTGGATCTACTACTAATACTAACAATACTAATATTGATGTATCTGCAATTGGTACCAATGGTCACAAACCATTACCTAAAAATTGGATACGTCAACCTACAGATAATGGTAGTACTTATTACTACTTGAATGTGGTAACAAGAGAAATCAGGTGGACCCATCCTGGTAGAGATAGTATTGCTATTCCCAGTAATAACAATTTCACATCTGATGATGACGATGATGATACTGATGATGATGATGATGACACTGATGATGATGATTATGGTTATGATATCAAGAATGAAGTAATTAATGAAGATACTGATGAAGATACTGATGAAGATACTGATGACGATACTGATGACGATACTGATGACGATACTACTGATAAAAGTTTAAATGTAATAAAAGAAGAAAATGACGAACGGTATATTATTAATAATCACGTTGAAAAAACAGCAAAAATGCAAGAAAATATTGATGATGAGGAATCTGCTGATAAAGAAAGTATTTCTAGTTCGAGATATAGTATAGATAGTACAGTTACAACTGATACCATTGATCAAAAACAAGAACAACAACGAGAACGACAAGAAGAGAGGAAAATTAAGAATGTTAATTATCATGATGAAAAGGTTTGCAATTTAATCATATAAGATTTACATATATTTTATGATTAATTAATAATTCATTCTATTAATTATTTAGCCTCCTGAGAGTTGGATAAACACAACAAATATATCAGCTGGGGATTATTATAATCATATGGATGTTGAAGCAAATTCTGTAATTATTATTTATCCATTTCAATATCAATCAATGCTTTCCAAAATTAAAATTTTTATATTTATTTTTTTATTTTTTTATAAAGAATAATAAAGATGATACTAAAGCAGTAGTAGTAACAGATGATCATCATCTCTTTCAACCTTCAATCGATCAAAATTACCAATCATCAATTCCATCTTACAATAATTATAATAATAGTACACATAATCAGTTACAACTTCATTTACAACAACAACAACAACTTACCTGGCAATCTTTGACAAATAGTATAACACTAGCTATACATAGTTTAAATCTAGCCGTAAAGCAAAACGAAAAGCATCTATACAACTCATCTACAGAATCAATAGTTGAAAATGTTCGTATAATGTTGTACGCCTCGGGCACAATTCAAAAAGATTCAAGAATATTTAGAGAAAATCTACCATTAAAAACCTATCATAATCAATTAGTGACCGCAGTTAGTAGATTGGTAATCTCAACAAAAGCGGCTGTTAATACTGCCCCTAATACTTGGCAATCGCCTGAGACTATGTTAGAAAAAATCAATGATGTATATCTTGCTATACAACAATATATTCAAGAAGCTGAAAATACTGTCAAGATTAAAAGGATTAATCCTAAAATTTTGAAAAATTCCAGAGTTGGCGGTGGCTGGCGTGGTAACAATATTTTATCATCAGCGTCTTCTTCACCACCTGCATCTCCTCCTATATCAAGTAATTTTTCTCCAAATGCAAATAATAGTAATAGTAATAGTAATAATAACGAGTATAGTAATGTTAATATTAATAATAATGATAATCAACACAATCATCAAAATAATAATGGTGATGGGAATGGTAATGGTCATAATAATTATTCTTATACAGCATCATCACTACCACAGCGTAGAATTTCTCCCTCATTATCATTGACTCTGGATGTTTTTCTCTCACTAGACAATGTTTCTCGTAACATAACAAAATATTTACATGTATTAATTTTGAACATTAAAAAATCATTATTGGGCGCTACTATATCACCATCATCACCACCAACCTCTACACCAACATCACCAACATCACCATTACTACCAGCATCGCCATTATCACCGCCATTTAGACCTCCTTCTTCTTCTTCAACATCTTTAACTCCACAACTTGTAAATTCAATTCGTCAAATAGTTTCACAAATTGGTCAATTTCTTTATTATGTCGAGGATCTTGATTTACGCGAGTTATCAGAAAAAAATTATCAAGATTCCCTAAACGATTTTAAAGTTTCAAAACAGACTTTGTATAATAGCATAGCCAATCTCGCTATCTTTACTCAATCTGCTGCCAATCCATTATCCTTACCATTATTAAATAATCCATTAAAACAAGTATTGGATTATGCCATTGTAGTTGAGAAATCGGTAAATAATGTTATTATATCAATTAAGTTTTTGGTAGAAGAAAGTGAAATGTTCGATTTTAAATCTCAACCTCCTCAATTACCACAACCTCAATTACCGCCTCCTCAATTACCACCTCCTCCACAACACCAATCTAATGAACAACACCAATCATATCATCAACGAAATCAACCTCCATTGCAACAACACCAACCAATATCATTCTCGCCACCTTCACTACCACCACTACCACCACCGCCACCACATCATAATCATCATAATCCTTCTTCACCATCTTTCGTACTTCCACAACCACAATCATCATACTCTCAACCAATTCATCCATATCAACCAATTCAACCTTATCAACCTCATCCATTACATTTTGCTCGTAGACGTAGTAGTGCACCAGATGCCCCTCCTACTAAACGTCGAGTTCCTCACAATTTTGTTCCAACAATTAATACAACGATAAACAATAACGTTAACAACGCTAACAACAACATTAACAATTACCAAATTATTGAAGATCCTTCATCTGCTTCTTCATTAATGATGGATGATGATATTTCACGCGAATCTGATAGCCCGTCATTTGTTCCATCTACCACGTCCACAATAACTTCATCATACTCAATCCCAACAACTGCAATTTCATCATCAACAACGAGTTTGCTGCCTGTTCCAGAAGGTGAAATAATGAATACTACCACTACCACTACCACCACCAATAATACATCATCATCACCAAGATCACCAACATCAACAACCAATACATCATCAATAATATCAACATCAACAGTTATTACTACTGATTCAACAACCTCCACATTAATTGGCGGTGGTGACAATTTCAACGAGAATGATGATACAGCAATACCAAAATCTCCTGTTTCAGAAAATCCTTCAATAATTACTGCTACATCACTTGGTTCTAGAACTTTTTCAAGTTTCACTAGTCGTCTTCGATCAAATATTTCTGTCTCTACATCAAATACTGCTTATGACAATTCGTCGAATATATCACAACCATCACTGCCATCTTCTTCTACTTCGTCATTACAAACACCAACAATAAAAACACCTGCAAAATCTAACGAACAATCACCACCATTATCTGATGATCCAAAACCGCTACATGAAAATAATCCCCCTGGCGAAGAAGTATTGCAACCATCATCTAATCAACCATCAACATCCACCGCCACCGCTCCCACCTCACCACCACCATCCAATAATAATAAACAAGAAGAAAAGTTATGGTTTTTAGATTACGATTATCGTGAGATTGACATAATTTTTATTAATGAAAGTAAAACGACGGTAAAAGGCGGAACACTTGATGCATTGATAGAACGATTAACAATGCACGATCTACTAGATTCGAATTTCAATGCCACCTTCCTGCTAACATATCGATCATTTTGTGATTCAGATACATTTCTCGAGAAATTAATAGATAGATTTATTATCAAACCGCCGGAAGGAATGACACCAAGTGAGAAAGAGATATGGCAAGAGAAGAAACAGACACCGATCAGGTTGAGAGTTCTTAGCATAATGAAAAGTTGGTTGGAGCATTATTATATGGATGATCAAGATAGTCATTGTTTGACTAGAATGAAAGAGTTTGCTAGTACGGTGATGAGTGAGCATATGTCGTTTGCGTCTGTGGGTCTTATCAAGATAATTGAGAAACGACAATTTCAGCCCGGTGCAATATTTCGTGAATTGATCAATACGAGCCCTATCCTACCACCACAACCTATCTTGCCAAGAAATTTAAGAAGAATTAAATTTTTGGATTTGAATCCTTTGGAAATTGCAAGGCAGTTGACTATTATCGAAAGTAGGTTGTATAATAAAATAAGACCTGTCGAGTGTTTAAATAAGGCTTGGAGTAAAGAGGAAGGCGGTGAGATTGCTAAAAATATTAAAGCTATGATTGTTAATAGTAATCAGGTAATCATTATAATCTATATAATGTGTATATAAGTAATAATAATAATAATAATAACAACGACAACAACAATAACAATATATGAATTTTATCTGTTTTTTATAGATAACAGGATGGGTAGCGGAAATGATACTGAATAATCCAGATATAAGAAGACGATGTGCATTAATAAAACATTTTGTGGCGGTGGCAGATAAATGCTTACTATTGAATAATTTCAATTCACTTACCGCAATCATATCAGGATTAAATAGTGCTCCAATTCATCGATTGAGAAGAACATGGGAAACTGCTAGTCAGAAAACGATCACGTTGTTAGAAGGTTTAAATAGAGTCATGAATTCTACAAAAAACTTTTTTGCATATCGTGAAACTTTACATAGTGTCAATCCGCCTTGTGTACCGTTTTTAGGTTTGATCTATTATTATTTTCTTTTATTGGGGAATTTTCAACATTTTGTATTAATTATATTTGAATGTTCATCTCTTTAAAAAAATATATCAATAGGTGTATATTTAACAGATTTAACATTTATTGAAGATGGCAATCCAAATATACTTAAAAAACAAACAAATATAATCAATTTTTCAAAAAGAATGAAAACAGCAGAGGTTATTAGAGAAATTCAACAATATCAATCAGTTCCTTATAATTTAACCTCTGTTCAAGAAATACAGGTTTTCATAGAGACTAACTTAAAAGATAGTGATGATGTAGCTAATTTATATGATAAAAGTTTAGCTTTGGAACCAAGGTAATTATTTAATCATTTAATTATTTGTATATACATATGAAAATATTTTTATTGATTATTTTATTAATTTAATAACAGGGAAAGAGAAGATGAAAAAATTGCTAGATTGTTACAAGAATCTGGTTTCTTATAAATTTACTTATTTATTTCAAACCATCCCAAAAAATTTATGTTTTTCTTTACATTTTGTTTTGGGCAAATTTATCAAATTTATGCTTAATTTATATAATATTATAATTATAATTATAATATTTATTTATTTGTATTTTATGATTTCTTTACTGTTACACACTTTTATGTTAATTTTCCGTTTCCGTTTTCGTTTTCGTCACCTTTTTATTTTTATATATACATAATATATAAATAATATATATAAAATAGAAAGAAAAAAAATAATATGTAATTAAATAAATATATATATGTGATTAAAAAAAAATTTTTTTTGTTACTATATAATTAGACTTTTCAATAAATTTAATATATACCGCGCAATTATTAGTTTTAAAAAAAACAAAACTACAAATTTTATTTCCTAATGATTTATAAAGAAAATATATATCTCTCAAGCAGTCCAGAGTTTTTTAAAATCCCGCCTTGAAAACTCACGGATCACGTACAATTTTTATTTCACCATTTTCCTAGATAAATTATTTTTTAAACTTCTTGATCTTGGTCGTTTTGTTTGACTGCATGATTAAACGAAGGTTACTTACTGCGAAAATAATAGTAACAATAGTAATAACAGAAAAGCAACTTTACCGCTAAAATAAATTATTCCTGATCAAGGAATCAAACGATACCATTTACCAAGGTTCATCATGCCACAAAACTTTAAGAATATATATAATATATGGACAAGTAACAAGATTCCACTTTCATAATTTTGTAGGAAAATGAAGTTTTACAATTCAATTTTCAGTAATAAAGACAATGGTATACAAAAAAAAAAAAATTTAAACCCTTTCAATTCCGCTTTTACATTTTTGCAAGTAAAACAAATTATAATAATAATAAAATAATAAAATTGTGTTTTAATAAAGATCCACCACATAAGGTGGGAAGGAGGATATTTATTGTTGTGTGTGTATATTGTATTTCTCAGTAAATAAATAAATTGCATCTCACTCTCGTTACAACCTTTCTATAATGAACATCGTGCTATATATAACGAACTTTCCTTTTGTCTCGACTCATTTTTTTTTATCTTGCATATTACACAAAAAACACATATAGAGGCAAAAGGTTTGTTACAAGGGAGTGAACTGCAACAACTATGGTGAATATTCGAGAAGCCAGCCATTAAATCTAGCATTATTTATTAATTTTGGTGTCAGATTTATTATACTTTTACTTTTTCAGCTTGACTTTACGGTTCCAATATTAATATTGCTTGATCCATGCCCTTTGAGAAAATAGAAAAAACACACTTGCACTTCAATGCAATTACAGAGCTCTCTTGACCACACTGAAAGCTGTCAATATATTTGTTAAGTTTTCCGGATAATTGGAATAAATAAAATTACATGTTAATATTAATATTAACACATACTCTTCTTTCGGTGTTGCTTAATCTCTTCGAAAGATTCAGCACTACCTGTTCAAAACATCAATAAATAATCAACGTATAAAAAAGAAAATTAAACAAAGACATGAGAAATGGAGAAAAGCGGCGTTTAACTATCTACTATATAGTACTAATAATATTTAATATTTGAATTATAATTTCACTTTTATTAGCTGGTAAAATTACAAGCCAACACTATCAGTTGTATGCGTTTATCTATCCACGCGGATTTATATAGAATAAATTATGTATTTAGTATGGAGACGGAATATGGAACCTGTGTATCAAATACAAGGTAAACGTCTATTGTAGTACTATTAGCGTTTTTACCTTGTCCGCACCCCAAAGAATAACATAATTCAGAATATTCCTACAAATAATAAATACATACATAGCAAATGTTTTCTTGGAGATGAAGATTTGATTTTTCCTAAAGCAGCTTGCCCTTTATAAGTTGCAACAATTAATGCTACAGTTTAAAAGTGCTAATTGATATTGCAGAAAAAGGCAATAAATAATCCTACTCTATTGCAAGCTTGGTAGAATACGATGAATCAATCATCGCTAATTATCATTCATATAAAATCAAACAAAATGGGCACAAAAAAATTTGTTTTGCTGTATATAAATTACGTGTCATGAACAGCATCAACAATATATTTTGAAACCTCTCTAGATTTTAAGGGATAACAAAAAATGTACAATATATTATTATTCAACACATTATTAAAAAAAAAAATTAAATTAATTAATTAAAAGTAGATTTTCATGCATTTCTAAATGAAAAATATTAAATTCATATATACCCAATCTAAAATATATAAATAAAAAAGTGTGTATTTTTATAAACAAACTATTTTTTCTAGTTTATATTTATTTATCTAGAGTTATCCTCATTTGCAAATTCCGTATAATTTCTAATATGACGCGAACGTCGATGTGTGGCTCTTTGATATTTATATGTGAGACTTACAATATCCTAAATAATGGTAATATTAAAATCATTATATATTAATTTTAATTTACAAAATAAAAATAAACAGATCAATCAACCAATCAGCCAATACCTTTAAAACAATAAACAAACACCCTCCAAGTATATTACGATGAAATGCATCGGGTATTCGTGAACGAATGAATGAGAATTTACCTAACAAACTATATGAAATTATATAAAGAATCCTTTTAATGAATTTTTTAAGAACATTTTCAATGAAAATAAATCAATAATTCAATTAATTTACCCTCCAACAATTGCTGAAATAACTGTTTAATTTATAAATAAAAATGTTAAATGTATATGTATGTATTATATATATTGATTAATTTAATATTTTTGTTTGATAAGACTTACATGGCAAACATAAAGCACCAACAATTTTTCTACCCGCGTAATTTCTATCTAAACGATCTAACATATCTTGATCATTTCTACGTTGTATATTGTTACCATTACCGATTTCTCCTCCAGTTTCATTAACATTATCTGTTAAAACAACATATGGCTCAAGTTGTCTTCTCCAATTTATCTCCATCATACCAAATAGCTGTTGATATGTCCAATTGTATATAATTCTAATCCATGGTAAAAGTGAAATTGTAAGGGATGGATTTGGTGGTATTGTCATTCTTAGATGATCCATTCTAACCAAAAACATTGGAATAAGCGGCATAACTGGGTCTGCAATGCGAGCTCTTGAAAAGATTAATAACATTGGTATTAATGGAAGAGATATCTATAAACATTATCGTGTAATTATTATTGTTATTATTATCATCATTTAAAAAATGTGAAAATAGGTATAAAATAAAATTAAGTTGTTTTATATTACATAAGTTCTCCAATTCCAAGGTTCCTCCAAAAAACGCTGACCATCTTCAAGACCAAGCATTGTTACCATTGCATACGCTCTAAAAAAAATTGTTTTTTTTAGTTGTATAAAAAAATATTGTATATAATATAATACATTATTGTTTGAATATTAAATTTACCCATAATGAACATTTGTTACAACTATTGCAAAAGTCACTCCAAAAATAGTAAAGTATTGAATTGACGATTGAATTGAATTGTCTATAACTGACATTACTTTGAATAAAAGAGAAGGATTTTCATAGTAACGATACAGTGTTTTACATTGTGGACATCTAACCTAAATAACATATATATATATATATATACATGTATTTTTAAGAAAAGGTTATAAAATTTATGATTAAATATTTAGGTAGGGAAAAGTGTATATATATACCTTCCTAAGAGCCGCACTTCTTTGTTTTTCATTAATCCAATTCAACAAACATTCTTCATGACATATTAAAGAGCATTTACAAGGTTTAACCCATTTTCCAACACTGTCATTCTCCTCTCCGTAACAAATCCAACATCTTTTATCTTCAACACTTTGAGAATTTGGTTGTAGATTTGATGAACTTGTTGTTGATGTAACATTATTAATATTGACATTTTCTCCATTATTAAGAAGAATTCCTTCTCTGATAGCACGATTTTCCGCTCTTAGAATTCTACGACCTTCTCTAATAGCACGTTGAGTTTCCCTAGGAACTGAAAAATCTTCCGTCACAACATTTTGACCTTCTCTAAAAAAGGGATAGTCTTCTCTTATTATAGCAGGTTGAACTTCTCTACGAGAAGGAGCAGGAGCAAGAGGAGTAGGAGTAGGAGTAAGAGTAGGAGAGTGAGGACTTTCTCTTACAACAGGTTGTTGTTGATAATTAATCAATGACATTAGATTGGTGTGTTGTTGGAAAGGGGGATTTTCTGGTATTTGATCGTTGTTAGTAGTAGCAGGGTTGTAACCAGGAGGAAATTCTGGGAAATGACTAGCTCTGTCAAATAGATCAGTGGTATTGGTATTGGTTCTTGAATGTTCTTCTGGTTGAGTTTGATCATCATTAGTTAGCTCATTCCGTTGATTTGTATATTGAAAAACTGGATTATGACTAAAAGGAGCTGCCATTTCTGACTATATTTATGCTACAATATATATATATATATATTAGTTATAGTATTAAAAGGAAAAAAAAGTCATACTAAACTTTGGAAACAATACTACATTTTCAAAGAAAAAATTTTTTTGCAAGTTGAAAATTGAAAATACTCCTAGTTTATTTAAAGCAACAACAAGCTGAAAAATAAAGAAAATAAAGGAAAGTTTTTTTAAGAGACACTTTTGTTTTAATTTTTGTAAATAGGAATATATTTTTTTTTATCAAAAAAAATCATTGTATTTATTATATAATATGGGGCCAAACAATTTTGAACCCTGTAGATCTACCAAATAAATATATTATTATAATTAATATATTTACTTATATATTTGATTTTTCACGAGATCTTTTTCAAGTATAACTTATTCCACAAACTTGTCAAATTCCTCTCAAATATTATCAAATCACATTTTTTGTTGGAGGAATGCGCTTATGGATCAAAAATTTGGTTATGTTTGGAATATCCTTCTCATGATTTTTTCTCTTCACCAACCCATCTCTTTGTAATATGAAGGGAGGGAGGGTGATCTTTTGATTTTTTTATGTAGGGAATTTCGCCCAAGGCTGAAGAATCAAGCTAGAGTTTGGCAATTGGACATTTAAATTACCAAAAATAGTATCTTGTACATTGGCACAACTAATCACATGGCTACGTTCACAAATTTACCAAAAAGGTATCCATCCCACTGAATGAAAAAAAAAATTCCGAATAATGGTTTTTTTTTATTCCATTAATAAAAAATTTCATTGTATTAGTATTTATTTCTGGATTTAAACGACTATTCCGAAATTATGTAATGAGCCGCCCCTGTTTCTACAAATTACATCCAGTATTTTTAAACTCAGAACAGTTATCCCCTGGGTCATGTAAGCCTCCTCCATACTGGGAGGGGCTCGCCAAGGCGTATATGTTACCTGGGGGATAAATAACTAATATGTACTAGATATGCATATATTTGATTCGAATCATGGTTTTGTTTTTAGAAATTTAGCAGCTTCATTTTTCTAAATCGATATGGTTTCTCCCTAAATAAATATATAAATTTATTTAAATTGGTAAGTAATAATAGATCTTTAATTACTTTACCAAACCAAAGTTACCCATTTTATATCTGAAACAACTTCTATTATAATCGGATTCATAATAATATGTTCAAATGTCAAATGTGCCTTCTGATAAAATCTTCTTTGGATGCATCTTCATTTTCCTACATTACATTCTAAACCTAATATACAGTATAAATATAAACTGGTTAATAATTGTATATATATAATATACTACTAACAATTTAAAATATTAATTACATTTTACGCCAAATAAAAATATAGATTTCGTAATTATCATTTGTTTTTCAATATTGGGAAACCAATGTCAACTTAGAAAACCCCCACAGTAAAGCCATTGATATAATCGTATTTTCAAACAAAATTTTTGAATACAGAAATTGTTGGTCGAAGTTCATTTGATTGCAAACTGTAAATTTCAATTTTAGTAATGTCTTTTTTTGCAGCAGAAGAAAGTGCCAAGTAAGTATTGCGAGTATCACTGGAACAGAGCTGTTCCACCGTTGCTCGTTTTTGGTATAAAGATGCAATATAGTCATTAGTGCAGACATCGAAAGCATAATTAAAACTATCTAGAGGTTTAATTAAATTTCCTAACAAAATAAGGCATTATAAAATATAGGGTTCCAAGATTTCAGGGTTGATCTGCTCACACATTTTTGATGCCGTTGTAAATTCTTATTTATTATTAATTGAAATCTCGCAACTCTATAAAATGAATGAATGAATAAAATTAAAAATATCAAAATACTTTTATAAAATCCCAGATTGGATTTATATTATCGCCTTAAATGCATATCAAGATTTACATTTTCTTCTAAATTTTTATATGAGTAATAACCAATGTAACAATAGAACCGTATTTTTTCTTGATAATAAATTAAAAGAAATCATGCATGCATCCGCAGAATTAATAAGCATTTGGCTTAACAAATCAAAAATGCTTTCATCGCTACCGTGATTGCTTCCACGGCCACCTCCACCGCTTCCGTCATTACGTCTAACAACGAGGTGATTGCATCTCCAGCAAATTACTTTCATCGCTTTCATGGTTTCTTCTGCAAACATTTCACCACTTCCTTGAGATTGTTTCTGCAACCATATCTGCTTCAACAAAATCCTTATTGACTTTGTAAAGGATAAGCCAAAAAAGAGTATGTCTAATCATTGGTTAGAAAAACTATCATATAATGTATTGATTCTTTACCTGACGATTTTTTTATCATATCCGTTCCATCTTTCAACATTTTTTTAATTTACCAACCTCATTGACGTTATTTTTTATCAAGATCAAATTTTGTAACTATTTTCCTAAATTATTACCTCGTTGATTATGGTCGTTAAAATTTAGTATGGAAGTTATTATTGGATAATAATAATACTAAATACAGTCAAACTTCATTTCAGCGAATCTTGTTTCAACGAATTATATGGTGCGCGAAGTCTATAACCACCATTTACTGCGCCACACAAGCAAATTCAGTTTTTTATAAAAATTTTTATAGTCATGTGATTTTTAAAATATCTTAATTTGATTTATTATCAATTATAATTAATTATCAACAACATTACTTGGAATTTTTCTATGAAATTTGTATCTATTATTGCATATAAAGCTTCTAGACCTCTCAACCCATTTCTATAAGCATACATAAATCTCCAAGACCTTCCGAATGTTTTTGAATTTAATGCCAATAGAACAGTTTTTTCTAATGGCTTAAAAGTATAATCACAGTTTTTACGGGTATATTATTTTGCTGCACCCCCAAATAATTCAATAAAATTAACTTGGGGTAAAAAATGACTTCATGACCATAAGATTCAATAGTTTCTTCAATTAAAGATTTTTGATTAACCGCTACACTATACCAAATTTAGAAATGATAATTGTAGACTATCCAAATGTGTTATTGCCAAATCAGGAATAAAACTCGATAAACCTATCAATATTTTGAAGTTTGAGTCTATGCAATAACAGAGTTATTTTTTAAAAATGATCGACAGGAATGGATTTCTATTCTTTCAAAATCACGTGCAAAATTGTGGTTATAGACTTCGCGCACCATATTAATATAATTAAATTTGCGTTACAACGAATTTTTAATTTTTTTGCTTCACATATAAAAACATTTGAAACGAGATTAGTAATTTTGGTATCGACGTTATTTATTTTTTGTTCGATATTATTTATTATTCTAAGGATAGAGTGTAGTCATGTGATGATCAACAGGTCCAAGCTATTGCAAGAAACACTTTTCTGGATAGTTAACTATACATCATTAAAGGACGTGGCTAGCTCATGATAATTCTAATTTAGAAACATTGAATGAACATGCTAATCTAACAACCATTGAATTTTCATACAGTTGAAGAATGTATAGTAGATATCAATAACCAAACTTACATTCCTATTCGTCCTGAATATTTTATCATTACTTTAATTGGACTAGCAATGCTGAAAATTATATATAATAAAGGTTTGCGATTTGTGATAGATGAAGCACACTGTATAATGTCTTGTGAATATTTCGGGCAATATAATCATGAAATATAATATTTGAATACAATTTAATTTATATGTATTTTTTGGAAAATCTTGGACAACTATTTCCTGATCCACCAACTATGTTACTTTTAGCAATATGTTCATCTCAATACGTCCTTAATATTTGTGAATTCCCAAAAGAAAATCTAAAATTTTTGAAATAAAAAATTTTGCTCAAAATTTAGGATCGGCATAGGTAGATCGCCCATAGTAGATAAATTTTCAATGAACAAAATTGCGAAATTCAATGATTTAAATGATAGATTGACGGAGAAACTCTGATATGTGTATAAAAACAGCTTAATTCTTCTGCTTCATTACTATGAAATTCAAATTAATATAATAATAATTTGTTAATAATAAACATTGTAAATCGATCAAAACCATATAAAATATAAATTATATTAAATCTCATTCTTACATTCATGAAATCTAGGGTTTGTATACCAGATAATATCATGGGATCATGACACCTGACAACACTGGATCAAGCCTTACAAGGTTTTGGTATTGATGTATTGAACATGGCATCCTTTTTTAATGGATTTATATACTTACATTAATCCTTTCACACATAGATGGATGCAAATGTTAAATTTCAGACAAATACCAACAGAAAATTATTTGATTGTTGCCCTATTGTGGGATTGTTGAAGGAGGATTCCCAATATACGTAATTATTGTAGTTGTGTGCTTTAATTTTGTACAATTTCAAATGAGACAATGACATTGCACTTCATGCGCTGAAAACTTACATCTGAAGATTAAGGTCGTGGGCGAAACTCCTCCAGAAATCAATTGACAGGGTTTCGACAGGTTACACATTAATTGTTTATTTGAGTTTCGGCGGAGTTTCGCATTTGGGGGTTTTGTCAATCGTCAGAGTTTTGACAAGGTATATACTAATTGTTCATTAGGGTTTCGACAGAGTTTCGACAAGTCACTAAGAGGTTTCGGCAAGCAACCTTACTGAAGATGGATGTTAATTGAAAACTTGATGATCTTGAGGAACCATAATTATTGGCATAATCACTTTTCCTCCAAAAAAAATTATGGCAAACAACTATAATGATGATATAACAGTAGTTTTTACCTGGTAGTATAGGGCCATGAATTAATGGTTTAGGGGCCATACATTTTCCTGTCACATTTTTTTTGTATCTTAACAAATTTCACAGCAGACTATACTTCATAATGGATTTTTAAGATTTTTGCTTCACATAAATAAAATTTTCTTATATGTCCCCATCATCTGCTGCGACAAGGTTTGACTGTAGATAAAATAAAAATAAAGTGAATCTTTGTCCCAGGGATCAAAAATCTACAATAATATACGAACAATCTTATGGTCCAACAGAATTTGATATGAAGCATCATTCATTATCTAGAAGACATAACTAAACTGGTACGAAATAGCATAGATGATATAGATTACCATTTTGTTCAATATAGCAATTCTTCCAATAATGACTGCTAAAAAATTGAAAGCAGCATCCATGGATACGGTAAGTATCTTTTTATAAAAATAGTTTGCTTTAACAAGACACATCTAATCTTTCTACCTCTCAGATCTTGTTAGGCAAAACCTATATAGAATATATTCAAAAATTCCAATTTCATATAAGACCGATGGTTGCTCGTAAAAATTACAAATATTCGCTTGTATTCGGAGATATTTCCTTTTTAAACATACAAAACATCTTATTTTACTATTACTTATTATTGCTAGTTTTATTTGTTGTTATAGATAGAATGAAAATCTGTCGAGGCAAAAAATGCGCGAAGAGGATGTATTGGTACTGATTGTGTATCCAATTAGATATTAATTCCGGAAAAAAAGATCAAGCTGCCTGCAAAAAAATATAGTTTTTATATTTTCACTTTGTAAAATGTATTATTATAAAGTTAATATTGATAAAGTTTTAGAGAGAAAATAAACACTGTTTGGAATGATGTTAGAAAAACGTTTAAACTTCAAGATTACTCGATTAATTATTTATAAAAAGTTGAAGCTGATGAACATGATGAATATATAAAGTCTAAACCGTCAAGCAAAAAGCATAAAGAAAAATTCGAGACTGATGAACAAGAAGAGCATATAAGTCTAAATCGTCAAGTGAAAAAGGCAAAGAAAAATCCGAACTTGATGGACATGGCCTGAAACTGATGGCCGAAATCAATAGTCAAGAGAAAACTGAAACTGATGATCAAGATGAACCGTTGGAGCGCGCTTTAAAAAGTCGAAAACTCAAAGCTGAACAGGCTAGAATTGACAAAAGTAAGTTATTATGATCAAGCACGCCAATAGACTTTTGAAGCCAAAAGAAGAAGACATAACGATAGGTAAAGTAGTAAAATCAACATTTATGCTGTTAAAATTATAAGCGTTAATATAGAAAGTTTACAAATTAAATATTATAAAGTTAATTGATTATGATAGTAATCATCCCACTGTGGAAGTATACAAGATCATCAAATGATTTCATTATAGTTTTTTTTGTTGGAATTATTATCATAGCAGCAACCCTAAACTTTTTAAGAAAATAAGTTCGATTTTTTGAATGCCTTGGGAAGTTCAGCAGCTAAATCTGTTCCACATAATTGCCTATTTTTTTTTGACTCGCCGGAGTCAATGAACTTGAGTAACATGGTGTTGTCAAGTTTGATGGCTCAATGCATTATGAATGTGCTAAAAAAAAGTCATTTGATACTTACAACTGTTGCAACAGATAGTAGTACTGTTCAATATTATGAACATGATGAAGCTATCGATATCTGGTCATTTGGAATAGTAAATTATATGCTGTCAAAAAAAAATATCCATGGAATTTTAATGGTCATGTAAAAGTTGAAGAAGGGGAAGAAAAACAAATTGATCACATTAAGTTTTATGACAATATCATTGAAGCCACCCTGGATTTGTCTACATTTAAATTGATTTGGAGGGGAAGATGTCGATGAAATTTAAGTTGTCACAGATTTCATTCTTAAATTGTGGAAGCCTTAGAGCATGCTTCGTCAATTGATACGGAGAAAAAATAAATAATAAACAGATGGATAGATAGATAATTTCTTTTCATCATAATGTTTGTAATTAAATCTTCAAAAAATACAACCGATTCTTACATATGTATAATTAATATCAACAACTATAATAATTATAATACAAAAAAACAAAAAGTAAAATAAATTCAATAATTAAAGAATAAAAAATTAATAAATTAAAATATATATATATATTACATATTAAATATTACATTGGTAAATTTTACATAATTAAACACATACAATACTAATACAAATTGTTTGTTAATTGGTTGCGATAGAATATAAAAGTTCATTATAATAATAATAATGATTTAATTCCAAATCAACCTTCTTTACACACACACACACACACACACACATCCCACCACAACCTTCTCTATCCAATCCATCATCAACCCATAAGCCATTTCATTCTTAATTGTTCGATCCATCTAACATATATCATTTCAATGATAGGCGGAGCTTTGGGTGATTCGTCTTCTATTGACGATGAAGACGAAGAGGGCGGTGTAGTTGATAATGGCAGCGTTTGTTTTTTTGGTTTAATAGTAGAGTTCGATATTGAATCGTCGTCACTTAATGAACCCGATTTATTTGATGATTGTGAAGATGCTGCAGTTTTTAAAAACGCTTCTGATATTACACCTAAATCCGATAATTTTTCACAAATTTCAGCATTCCTAAAAAATTTTTATAATGTTTTTTGAAAATATTAGAATTACATTTTTGATTTTTCTCAATTAACATCGATAACAATAATTACATTTTTAGTCGTTTCAGTATTTCTACTAAAATTGTTATGATTAAATCAGGGCTTGAATGATCCAATTCATCAATTCCTTTTTCAAACATGCTAAGTGCTTCCAATTCTGTTGCTTTCAATTCATTATTTTTAATCTTTTATTTTAAAAAGAAAAGAGGAAAAACATTGTTATTAAGATTATTATTGTCCAAAATATACACAAATAAATTTTTTTATTTTACCTTTTCAATAGCCGGAAGAATGATATCTTTTACTAAATTTCTGCCGGCAATTCCTTCCTCAGTAACTGGTTCCTTAACCTCGATGTTTCTTGAATATCTTGAGAGCGACGAAGTAGATGCTGATGATGATGCAACGCTTAATCGATTATTTTTTGATGATGATTTTAAAGCGTCAATTCTATTTATTATTTATATTGTTAATAAATATGAACACTAATATGGAAATAATAAATAATGTATGTATGCATTCATATAAATTTAATTTACCCCTTAATGCTTTCATCAAAAGAATCGATTATAATATTCGTGGTTTTATTTTCAATTATAGAGTGTCTTTTGTTTGATAAAATTGTCAAATTTGCCTGTTTCTAGTTAATTGAAACATATATGTGTGTAAAAATATAAATAAATGTAAATAAAAATATGTATATGCATTGATGGATATAAATAGTAGTAATAATAAAATGATTTAAATACCAAAAAATCCGATAATTTTACTGTGGAATACCCTGATGAGATAGACGACTATTTATATAAAAGCAAAGAATAAGGATAATTAGTATTAAATCCATTCTCTTAAAATGATTAAAAAATCCGCAATCATTCAACCCGCCAAGCAATAAATAAATAGAATAATGTATTTATTTACATTTTCATTTATGTTAATATTTGCAATCGGTTGTTCAACGTTTCTTGGTATATTAGATGAATTATCAGCATTAGAATCAGCCACAGCTGCTGACGAAGAAGATGATTGTTGTGGTGGTAGCGATGGAGGTATCGGAAAAGAAAAATCGTTATTGACAATACCAAGACTAGTAACGATACTGCCCTCATTATTACCATGATTGATATTGATAATATTGTTGTCTTTGTTACTACCACTACCACTAGCATTACCATTACTATTAGAAAGTTCTTCCAATCTCTCTAAAGTTTTAGAATCTAATTTAATTGTGCCATCTATATGTGCTCTCTTTACAGTTTCAAAGTCCCAACAGCCCTCAATTAATGACTTGTCATTTTTAATTGTTCTTTTATATATATTTATGAAAAATAATAAGTAAATAACTATTAGTTGACATATCGTTATATGAATTATAGATTATTATTATTATAATAAAGATTGATTGATGGATAGATACTTACAAAGTTTTTTCAAACATTGATAAAACTCTTTGTGTTCCATCACGCTTTATGCTTCGTTCAATAAGTTCTTGTAATTGTATTGTATTACGGGCGGATTTGATAAATTTGTGTCTTAATAATTCTTTTGCTGTTGGACGCTGTGATTTTATTTTGATATGAATGAATGAATTAATTAATAAATAAACAGATTTTAAGTTAATCAACCAGAAAAACGATAAAAATCAAAATTATTGATCCGAAACTTACATGGTCAGGATTTTTTATTAAACACAAAGAAATGAAATCTTTAAATGCATTAGAGAAATTACCATCCAATACAGGAGGTTTTGCTTTTGGTATAAGAAATAGAACTCTCATTGGATGGTATTCAGCCAATGGTGGTTCGCCTTTTGCTAATTCGATAGCAGTAATTCCGAGTGACCAGATATCTGCCTAATTATATTATTTCAAGATTATTATTATTGTTGTTGTTGTTTTTAGTGGCATTTATTTTATATTTTATATTTATATTAATTTGTCTGTAAATGCAAAGAAAAAATAAATTAAATCTTACTTTGTGATCATAGCCTGCTTGTCTAATAACTTCAGGTGCCATCCAAAACTATTTTAAAAAATTTTTTTGGAGGGAAATATTCATTAAAAAAAAAAAAAAAAAAAGCAAAAAGAAAAGGAGTATAGGAATAATTATTAAAAAAATGTTACCGGTGTTCCAACAAAAGTATTTCTTTTACTTTTATTGTTAGAAAGTTGTGCAGCTACACCAAAATCCGCTAAAGTAAATTTTTTTATATAATTTTTAATTAGAAAAAAATCAATTTATACTAATTATCATTTTGCTAAAAATCATGTATTGATAGATAGATTTTTAATAAAATTACCTAGTTTAACTTTTCCTTCAGCTGATAATAAAACATTAGCAGCTAAAAAAATATTTATCGAAAAAAAAAAATATCAATCAATCAATACAATCAAAATATTTACGAAGACAGTCAACTAATCATCAATTAATACCTTTAATGTCTCGGTGAATCTTTCCTTCGATATGTAAATACTCCAAGCCATATAAAAGTTCTCGTAATACAATAGCAATTTGATGTTCTTCAAATGGACCTGGTTTAAGCTAAAAAAAAAAATATATATATGAATTAGTTCCACATATATGAGTAAATAATTATCATCATGAATGAATGATTGTGTCTTCTCACCAAATCTAAACACGATCCACCTGAAAGGTATTCCATAACTAATAATAATAATAACAACAACAACAATAGATGTAAATATATATATTTCATTAAATCAAATTAAAATAATTAGTAATAATTACCAATCCATAATTTAAAGCCTTTTATAAAAGATCCGTAATATCGGGTAATGAATGGTGAATCACATTGTGACAATAATGCTATTTCTTGTTGTATTTCACTTATATCATCCTCTGAACTTTCTAAATCAATTATCTTTATTGCAACAACTTCATTGGTTTCTTTATGGATGCTTTTTATTTAAAAAAAAAGTGTTATTTTACAACTAGTTATTTCTTTTTATTTTAGGTGGGAGATATTATATACACTTACGCCTTAAATACTGTTCCAAAGGAACCAGTACCAAGTCTTTCAAGTAAAGTATAAGAATCCAAATCAAGTTTTGTCTTTATTATTGTTTTTGAAAAAAAAAGAAAAAGATTGTTTATTTCAATAATTTGGAATTTTCAAGAATTTCAAAAAAAATTATTGCATTGCTCACCATAATTACTGGATTCTAATTATTGAAATTAAATTAAATTAATTAATTAAAGGAGTTGTTATTTTTATATAATAAAAAAAAAATAATTTTATTGTATTATTATTATTGTTGTTGTTGATATTTATTATTTGATGAAAATCAAAAAAAAATTAAAATCAGCGAAAAAATAAAATTTTAAAAAATTTCTTTTTTAAAACCTTTTATAAATTTTCATTTTCCAAAAATAAAATTTTTTCAAATTAAAAAATCTTGTATCATCAACACTACTACTAATCAACCACTAACCCATTCGTTCATTCATTCTTAATTCCCTATTCTATCACGTTTCCTATTTCAATTCTGCGATTCCTCCTTTTTTCAAATAAAGAAAGAATAAATATTTTCTTTGGTAACACTAGTATTTTTCTTCCGAGTCTTGGGATCAACAAATTTTATTAATAAACATTTAAGGGATTTTTAATATTAAATAAATAATCAAGCTATGTCATATTCCAAGTAAAGAAATAGAATGTAAATCGAATGCATTGTCTAATTCCTTAATTGGTCAAAATATATAAAAAAAGGAAAAATCAACGGCATGGTAAATAAAACGGGCGAGTATTAATATATATATGCTTGTATGATTTTTTTCCTTTTTGATGAAATCGGGAGAATTTAAGGAGTAAGATTTTGAATAAGTCTTGATTTAGTAATTTTGGGAATGAGGAGTTTAGCATGTATATATAAATCAGGTGAGAAATCAATATCTTGTATGATTGAATATTTAAAGGTGAAGAATATTCCATTTACTTTATATAAATTATTGATTCAACCATTTTATATTTTCGTTCTCATAATTAGTAAATGATCTAAATTCATTTGCCAATCCACTTTTATGTTTTGGATAAAAATTCGTCATTTTGACATTCATAATTCTGTTCAATAAATCACTCATGACAGCTCCTAACAATTAAATACAAATCAATATTGTTTCTAGAAAAATTATTCAAACCATCACAAATAATTCATAATAATAGTTACCAGTACAAATCAATAATTTAAAGCCATCTTCAACATTATTATTACTATTATTCTTCTTTTTTTTACCTATCCATTTAACAGTCATCATTGTTTTAGTAAGACAATCTTCATTTAAAAATGGTGGATCGGCTAATATAAAATCAAACGAATCTTTGAATTCTTGAGATTTTTGAAATTTCATTGGTGAATTAAAATCATAATCAATAAAATATTTTCCATAAATATCAAATCTTCTATCATACTCAAATAAATATATTTCTTGTTTCAATGATGAATATTTTGACTATATATATTAAATAAAAGAAGCAGAGTGTAGAAAAAGAAAATAAATATTTTAAAAATGAATTAATATGTATGATTAAAATCAAATATTAAAATAAATCATACTCAACTTTTAATTTAACAAATACAGTTGGTGTACTAATACATGCTATTCTGCTTTTTGTTGTTGTATTATTTATAATCTCTTGTATTATCTTGTCTGTTGTTTCTTCATTATACTTTTAACAACAACAATAATTAATTATATATGATATATATGTATATATATACACATTATCCATTATATATCACTTACCCAGAATTGACTCAACTTTTTAATGTAAAATTATTAAAGATTAGGAAACAAACCAGGAAAAATATTATATTAATAAAGAAATGCTCAATAAAAAAAAAATAAAAACCTGCCAATCTTCTTTAAAATATTCCATATTAATCATACTTAATTCATCCTTTTTTCCTTCATCATCCCCCTCTCCCACTCCCTCCTCATTGTCATTCAATAAATATGATGATGCTTTTTGCCTTATTTGATCAAGTTTTTGTTGTTGTCCTTGTTGTTCAGCAAGGAATTCATTCAAAGCTGATAACGCTGTTGACGATAACCTATAATATATATATTAAATATATTAAATATATAAATATCATCATTATTATAAAAGCAAAAAATAATAGAGTACGTTAAATTTTCATCATCGTATTTGTTTTCTTCTGACATGATAATAATAATTGCAAGGATTAAATTTTTGATATAAAAAAAGGGAATACTATTTCGGGAGTATATGTAACACGATATGTTAATCACTCGAAAAAAGCTAGATAAATACAATAAAATATTTTTCTTTGAAGCAAATGATTGAATTCCTTGACGAAGCTAAGTGCAACTACAGGATATTTTCCTAACTACCTTTTTACGACTTTCGAACTTCCGTTTCACATATTGTTTTATGAAAATAGTCCAGTGATATTCTTCTTGCGTGAGATGGAAGCTTGTAACTATACAATTGGGGTAAATAGGTAAATCATCTGTCCATCTTTTCTTCTTGATACTTCTAGCAATATAAATGATAATTGCTACATTTAAAGTTGTAACTGCCAATCATATCCAAATAGATTCACCGTCAAAAAATTCGGTGTTGAAGGAAAGACTGATCTTCACTTAATTGAAATTAATAATATACTGTATATTTATATTTATAAGATTAGCCTATAATATATTTTTGATTTTTTTTGGTCTGTCATTAGTAAACAAAACAACATAGGTTTATTGTTAATATAGAAAACTGCAGTTCAAGCGTCAGTTTAACTGGAGTTTAAAAGTTTATTTACAATTTTTAGGATTAATGAAATTTATTTATTAGAATGTTAATGCGCCTTTCTCAAGCGAAGACCAGAAGTTATCCGTGTTGGTTAAAAATATTCCTTCCTCTTCGACGTATATAGATCAATTGTAGTCAAATTTACCTGCTAATTAAGGTTCTTATTCAATTATTTATAGGAAGTTTATGATTTAAACCCGTTTTTTAGGTAGTTTCATTATTATTATCGACCCCAATACGGTGCAGATCATCTAATTGCTTATAATAAATATAGCTTCAAAATACTATATAGCATTTCGAATATTCCAATTTTTTATTATTTATATATTATATTTATATATACTAAATTTTGTGTAACATAGATTTTTCCCAAAAATCCCGAGACAAAAATTTTTTTTACATGACTCCTTTTTTAAATGGCGGTGTTTTTTAATGATCCGCACTGTATAAATATATTGTTGTTTATATTATTTATCATTTTTCATTTATGAAAATTCTATTTGATGTTCATGCAGGAAATTTGCCTGCGATGCGGTAATAAATATCATTATGATTCAAAATAATAAAGATTCATTTAGAATGAATGATATTTTTTTTATTTTTTTTTTCCCCATGAAAGTCAAGGAATAAAAAAAATCAAAAAAAATACAATAATATATGTATATATATATATATATATATATATATATAAAATAATGTCATATATGTATCTATAAAATGAATAAATAGTATTGAAAAATAAAGGGTCATTACAATGCAGGTATAAAACCAGTCTAGTTATATTAATAATAATACAAATGTATAGGTATAAGACTAGATTAGGTTTTTCTAATCATTGACGCATTTTCTTATTGAAACTTGAAGTTTTTGATTCTATGGTCAAATTATTTTTATATTTATTATTATAATTTTGATGGTCTCCGTGCTTTATCACGAGTCAGTATGTTGCGATCATTCTTATGTTTAAAAATCATATTCACTTCATCTATAGGTATTCTTCCTGTTTTAGAAATGAGCCTTTCCAGCATCACCTTTATGTGTGTGTATATACGCCATTTTCTTTTTCGGTTGCACTCAAATATAGATTCTAAATTGATTAATCCCAAAACTTTCTCTTCCCATCGAACTTCTTATCTCTCCTTTGGGACTTTCAATGATAATTAAATTATTTTTTTGATTTGCTTTATCTTTCCAAGGAAGCATCGCTAATATCCCCATATTTCTGTCTTTTGGAACGAAAGAATGTATAATGCCAAAATCGTGATAAATAATTTTTCCATCGATTTTTATTTTGATGACTATTCCAATCCCTGTGATCAACATCCACCGCATTAACAACATGCATCGTTTTAATAATGTCAATCTACGGGGGGAAAATAAGCTTCTTTAACAGAAAGCTCAAACTTTTAAATTTAAAATAATAAGGTTAGACCATACCTTTGCATATATTATATATACTAAGCCATTCAATATAATATTAAAAGATTTTACACTCGCATGCTTCATTCGTTATAAGAACGGCAAACATAAGCACTGCACCTGCCTGCAAAGATATTGAGTGTTAGCAATTCAGATTAAAGCTTCATTACAAAAAGAGTGATCAGTAACATACTAACCAATAACTTTCTTGGACAATTCAATAAAAATATCTTAAAAAAGACTTGGTGCATCATCTTTCAATATTTTATTGCTGTCTCTTCTTTCCGCCTCAGAAGCAGCCCAATCGAGCTTTCTTGATCCATAAGTACTCCTATAATTTAATGGAGAGGCGGATTAATATTCGTATGTGACAGCAGGGAATCAATAATCTGATAAAATTGAAGCTTAGGTCTTAAACATCAATTCCGTCGGTTTAATTTTTTTTCTAACTTTCCTAGGTCGTCGATTTTGTGGTGTTATACGTACCCTGTCGCGGACCTGTTTGGCACACTATGCAAATATATATAACGGCTGGACGTCATTTCTCTTCATGATAAAATCAGTGCATAATTTCATCATTTTTGTCATATTTGTTCAATCTTCCACTTTTATAATATATAATATATGTGAAAAATAGTTTTTAAAAAAATCTAAATTTTATAATATTGACTGAAAAAATTGTAATTATTTGTGGCCTGATAACAGAATTTACAAAATTTATTAACTGACGAATTAAGTTGATTATAAATCTATAAATCCCATATACTCGAAAAAATAAAATAAAAATAAAAATCTCGATTTCCTTACTGATTAAACCATAACATCTTCACAAAAACATAAACTTCAACTTATTTCTGCTGGTAAACTCGTTTCGACGCTTCATTATGACACATTAGTTGTAAACTGGATTTTTGAAAACGCAAACAAATATGTATTTATTTCAATTGGAATTCAAAGAGACAAACAAAATTTATTATTTGTGTTGTTAGTGGAAATAATAATAATGCTAGGTCAGGCTATGTTTTGTTTGGAATAAAAAATAAAATAAACACTCTTTTAAAAATACTGTTATCAATTATTTTGTTCATTTTATTTATTTACACACAAAAGTTTCGGTCACCATGAAACAATTAATTGAGCAAAAATATACACAATAAAAATATAACAATTTATTGATGGTCGCGTCTCGTAACACATATATATAATAAATTAGTATAATTAAAAAAAAAATCATAATTTAATTACTAAGTTACAATACTCAGATCATTCAATCAATTTAGTTGTACCTTGTTGTTTAATAATTTAGTGAGTTCTCTTATAGTTCAAGTTGATTTACAATTGGGGTATATACAACAAATAATTCTAATATCCAAGTGATCTTTCATGGATAAAAAGGATAAGAATAGGTTAGAAATTGTAAATAATGATAATTATGATCCAATGCAAGCCTATAAGTATTTATCTAATATTATTTATCATAAATATGATCAAAATGGTACATGGTGAATCTCGATTTAGTGGATAGTTTGGGCAATTTTCAAAAAATCCGTTAAACCGAGATATCCACTATATCGAGAGGGTTTTATTAAGGGACTGTTCTTTGAACTTTATCCGTAAAACGGGGATTTTTAATTAGTATCCGCTAAATCGAGATTCACTGTGTAGTGGAAAATGTACAACATCAAAAATTGGAACTTATTTGGAAGGATTTTTTCAGACAGAATGTCAAAAGACACGATGATAGAGTTAAAGAAACTAGTGGAAGAAGGTGAAACTCAACTTTACATAGAGAATCAGCAGAAAAAGAGTACCAGAAAATAACAAAAGTGGTATAGGATTTGAAAATGATAGTGAAGTAACAGAAAAGACAAAAGGTATAAAGATCTGAGAAGTAATGAATTGAAATTATAAAATTTTATTATGTTTCAGATTATCAAATCTCTATAACAAAGCCTTCTGAAATTTTATTCAATTATTAAAGTTTTTATTTTATTCATTTGTATGTTTAATTTTTTTTTCTATGGATCTTTTGAAGTTACATATTGTGCATGTATTAACTTTATATGATGATTCTTACACTTTTTATATGATAATCGCCCCAAATTTATTTATTTTTTGATTAATTAGTATTAATATCAATTGAGATCATGTGACACGTGATATTGGTGCTACAGTATAAAGACCATCGAAACCCCGAAAAAGTAAGTTATTATTAATCGTGAGATAATTTTTAAATTTTTAATATAAATAATGATTTTTACATCATCCATAATTACCTTAATTTTTTTTTCTTTTAATTTAATATTAATACATTTGCGTTTGTCTTCTTTTCACTCATAAACTAACAGCAATAGTTCATTTCACAATGGAAGAGTCATTTTTTCGAAATGCTTTAATGTTAAACATGATGAATATGATGAATGAAGGAAATATGATGGATGGGAATATGGTGAATGAAATGGACAGAGAAGCTTTGATTGATGACCATGAAAGATTTTTGGAAGATATTGAAAGAAAGCGAAATAATTTTTATAAATCAACTTCCAATCAAATGAATAAAGGTATATATCAACATGTTAGTCTTGAATTAAAAAATAGAATTTCTATCACAGATTTACAACTTGATCATGTACATCACGGAAAATTTTTATTATGTCGAGTGATGGCAAAATGTGGAAAAAAGGTTTCCCTTATGACACTTGTTGAAGACCCAGAAGGTGATGCTGTAAAACTTGCTTTATACAATTGGATTAAACAATCTGACATTCCCGTAAAATACCGTAGAGGATATGTTCCTGTTGATGAAGTATCTAAACTTCTACCAATTGGAACTGTGATTATCATTAAAAACCCATATTATAAAACAACTGCTGATTTTACCACTACACTTCGTTCAGATAATCCTAGTGATATTGTTATTATTGATCGAAATAATAATAATTTGTTTAGAGAAATCAAATGGTCTACAGATCTCGAAAAACCTGACAAGCAAATTTTATCAGCTGATGATTTTCGTTGTCGTGGAAATGATTATTTTATATCTAATTATTTTGCATCAGCAATCAACGAATATTCAAATGGTATTGAGCTTGAACCAAATAACGCTACACTTCTTTCTAATCGTGCAGAAGCATATTTAAGATTGGGTCGGTTTACAAATGCTATTACTGATCTGGAAATTACTCTTAACAACGAGAGTAATCATCCAAAGGCAATTTATCGTATGGGTAAAGCTCTTTGTGGTCTTAAACGTTATCAAGAAGCTATAACTATGCTTAGAGATTTCCATCAAAAAATTCAATCAAGTACTGATAATTCCACTATTTCAACTAGGAAAAGTATTGAGCAATTGTTGAAGCATGCAGAAATGTTGGATTTGGAAAGTCGAAATGGACAGTATAATTTTATTAATATTGTTGATGAGTTTTGTGAAAAGTTGAATGCCTTAACAGTTGTTAATGACTCTGAGAAAATTGGACCTAGATTGGATCATGCTGATTACTTGAGTAATGATATTGAAATTCGTAATGTCAAAAAGAAAGGAAGAGGTTGGGTTGCCAAATGTGATATTCCTGAAGGTACTCTTTTGATGGTCTCAAAAGCATTTAAAGCGATATTTGCATATGAAGTTCCTTTTAGTTTTAATATTGATGCTTCATCAAAGTCTATGAATACAGGAACACAAAATGAATTAATAGCTTATATTGCTCAGAGGCTTACAGATGAGCCAGACCTTCGTAAGGAGATTTATAAGTTGTATAGTGGTCCAGATTTAGCCCCAATATCTAAACGTGATGAGAATGCATTGCATTCAGTAGATATCAATAGGATTGAAAAGATTGTTAAATATAATACTTTTTCATTATTGAGTTATGAACAAGTTTCTGAGTATGTTGAAGGAATGAGTTTATTAGATGTTGAAAAGAACGGGACAGCATTATGGATTTTGCCATCTTATTTCAATCACGCATGTGTTGATAACAATGTTAGTTGGGTAGGTTTTGGCGATTTGATGATTTTAAGGACTTCCCGGCTAGTTTTAAAAGGGGAGGAACTAGTTTTAAGTTATTGTAGTTCTGATAGTCCATACGAAGAACGATGCAATACTCTCAAAGATACATTTGGTATAAATTGTCAATGTAGACTTTGTAAATTGGAAGGGTCGGAACCATCTAAGGTCAAACGTCGGCGAGATGTCATTCTTGAAACTTTTACCGATATAAAAAGTCAGGTTAGAATGGTTATTAATAATCCTCAACTTGATGCTTCTCACATTATCCATCAATTAGAAAAGATGATCGATGAGTTGCATGATTTACGAAAAGAACATCCGGAATTAAATTTTCCTTCATTTTTGATTAAATCTGCTTTGGCGACAGTTTATGGGATAAAAGGAAATACTCATCGGTCAATTTCTCTTTATGAAGAACTATACAAATTTTCAAAAAAAGCTCAAACTCCACTAATTACTAGTAATACTGCTTTTCAAATTTCATTCCGTTATTTTGGAATGTTGAATATTAAACAAGCTAAAAAATGGTTTAATGTAGCATTGAAAGATTTGGCAGAACCTATAAGAGGCAAATTTAAAAACAATGAAACTGGTTGGAGAAAAGAAGCATTGCATTATGCAGAGAAGTTAATGCCAGATATGATTACATATGCTAAAAAAATAGGACTTATTGATCAGATTTTTTAATTAATTAATATATTTTTGGCATTCAATTTATATTGATATCTTTAAAACAGCTATATATATATATATAATATCTACCTTTATTTATTTTTGGAATCTATCCAAGTTAAAGTGAAAGCATCAATTTTAATCAGTATCAAAGATACCATTTCCCCTATTTTATTTTTCTCTCTGTCAATTGTCAAAATAATAATAATATGTTTAATTACTTATGAAACTATAAAATAGTAAATGTAGCTCTAAATCAATTATTGAATAATAAATAAATATTATCGCGAAAGATCGCAAAGATAAGTAAAAATTTTTTGTATAATATTATATTTTTATAATATATTGTTATTAGAGTTTGACATTACTATCAACATCACCAACATCAACACTAACGGTTATTTTTGAAGAAATCACCCAAGATCAAGATGATTTAAGTAGATTCGTTGGAATAACTCATCCAGGACTTTTTCTTTTGTTTATCACAATCAATGTCGACGACAGCCAAGAAAAAAATAAAAATAAACGAATTAACCATGTTGCAGAAATAACGGAAATTATCTTACCTTACCTGAAAACAGAAAAACTTGATTTAGATCAAAAAGCCGATTATTTTAACTTGGAATCTGATGAATATTTGTTGCTGAAACTAATTGTAAAAAAAAAACTAAATTATGCATATATCAACAAAAAATATATTGCATAATTATTTTTATCAATTAATCAATTTAATTATTGTGGAGGGATTGGCATTGCCAGTTCCGATGAGACAAACGATTTCTTCATTTTCTAATACCTACATTGTTAAAAGAAAATTTTTTTTTTGATCTGATCAGTTTTGTTTTTAATAACGAAATTTCTACGCGTGATATAAACATGAAAGTAGAAACCTGCCAGTAAACACGTGGACTTGGCTTTTTTTCATGCTCAATTAACATCTCCTCTTTAATTAATTTAGATTTTTTTAAGTTCCCTTTTATATAAATGAATAATTTGTACGATTGATTAATTTAATGTTCTTTTCAATATCTTATTTCCATCCATCGCTATTCCACAACACATCTTTAAGTTCACAATACTCATCTAGTTTCGTTTACCTTCTCGATTAATTCATGTGTATCATTTAATTTTTCATAACTTGTCATCTTTTTTCCATAAACTTCAGATTCTGTGTTCATATTTTCTGATCCAATGACATTATGTTGTCGTCGTTAACTTGTTAAATTAGTTTTATATATGTCACGATAAGAATGCATTGCATTCAATAAATGTCAATAGAATTGGAAAAATTGTATTTGATGATTTCAAGAACTTACTGGCCAGGGGAAGAGCTATTTTTAAATTATCGTTGGGATCCATATGCAAGATTCTCAAAGAATCATTTGGTATAAATTGTTAATGTAGACTTTGTAAGTTGGAAGAATCAGAACCATCTAAGGTTAAATGTTGACGAGATGTCATCCTCGAAAATTTTACCAATTCTATAAGGAATCAGATTAAAACGATTGTTAATGATCCTCAATCTGATGCTTCACACCAATGATCCAGAGTTAAATTTGTGATTAAATCCGCTTTAGCAATAGCTTACGCAATAAAAAGAAATACTCAACAGTCAGTTTCTCTTTATGAGGAACTATACAATTTTTCAAAATATGATCAAACTTCATTAATTGTTAGTATGACTGCCTTTCAAACTCATTCCGTTATTCTGAAGTGTTGAATGTTAAACAAGCTAAACAATGTTCAATATAGCATTGAAAGATTTGACAGAACTTATTAGAGGCAAAATTAAAAATAATGAAACTGGTTGGAGAGAAGCATTATATTTTGCGGTATATATCATATAAAAATATACAGCAAAAATGAACAAATCGCTTAGCATTTTCTTTTTTCTTTTTTTGTTTTTTTCCAATTATCATTTCTTTACTCCCTCATCTTTATTTGTAAAAAAAAGATTTTACACCATGTGACGAAAGACACTTACTAATTACCTTTACTAAATACAAAATCAACTTTTCCAGTTGTTCCAAGTCAAACTTCCACCTTAACCATCGAAGGTGCAAGTACAGCCCCCATAGAGGCAGGTACTGTATTTCAATTTGTTACCAGTTTTCAAGGAACAACGTAAAATATTGCCAATATCGAATTTTGCACAGTATTCAGTTTAACTTGCATGTCCATTTACAGCTAGACCTTTCACGCATACAAATACCAAACTATTTACAGTTGTAATTGTTAAGTCAAGATAATTATTTATATGGTTAAATGTTATTTATATTCAGAACTGAGAAGACTTGAGCTCTTTTTACAAGAAAATATCAATTAGTAACCATCAAGACTGTAATTTGACAAAAACCACCCCATGCCATTAATTTCCAATTACAAATAATAGTATCAGATAACATAACATGAAATAATAAATATATTAAATATATTGTATAACTAAATGAATAAATAGAATAATAAATAAAAT